GGGGACAATATACAAGTAAGGAGAGGGGAATGGAAGAACAAAGCAGATGGGAGAACAATTAGACAGGTCTCAATGGGCTAAGTGGGACAGAGGTAAATAATGATATATGCACAACCTGGGAACAACAGGGTTCTGGGATACAGAGAGTGAGTCATGGTTGGAATGTGGGGAATAATGTTAAGATACTTGGCTGTCTTTTGAATCTTGGTTTTTCCTTGCATCATATTATAATATAGACACTGGAAGGGGAGAGAAAGGAATAGCCAAAAGCATCACCATAGAAATCCTGTAAGTCGGTCTTCTAGCTATAAATGATTGGAATACCAAAACGGGGCTACAAAGTGCCCAGTGAAGGAGGCTTCCTGTGGAGCCTCTGCAATACACAAGATTATAGGTGGGAGAGAAAAGAGTGGCGGTGCTTCCCTGACCCATCAGCACAGGTGCAGGGGCTCCGGAAGTGGGTGGACAGTGTCGCTAATGGGGGGGGCACGCCTGGTAGACAGATGGCCCTTGGGCAAACATAAGACTTTAGCCCCCAACATTGTGGTCTTGCTTTTTTAAAGGGTCAAGCTGCTGGGGAGTTTTGCGCGTTTTGGACCTGTGCTTAGCTCCCTCTCTGGGACCACGCCCTGCAGCACTGTGGAGCTTAGAACAAAAGGCCTGAGGAGAAGGGTTCGGAGGGCAGGCACGCCCGGAGAGCCAGCGGAGCCACAGGGATTGGCACAGTCCTTCGTGAGGGGTGGGGGACCTCATTGCCACAGGAGGCATTGCCTACTTGGATGTAGGGCGGCCCAGGTGCCCAAGGCACAGGGAGACAGAGAGAGGCATTTTTTGATGACCTCAGACAGGGAGGCCATCAGCCACCATCTACTAATCCTGCCCTCCACTCCCTCTGCCTAAGCTAGCCCTTGGCCATCAAGGCAGGAGCAGAGAAGCTTTGAGGTGGTTTTTACCACCAGTGACAAGGCAATCCTGCTGTGGCTCTGCGGGTTAAGTGACCAAATTGCAGAGCCTTTTGAGCTGCAAGGTC